GATTTATCTGGGACAGCTCCTGGCATTGCTTCAGCTCATTCTCTGCTGCGCTGACCAAGCACCTCCTTGGTCCCCTTCCATCGCATTTATGGCAGGATGCAAAAGAAAGAAATAATCTTTGACCTTGTGCTGTCTGTTAGGTGTGTTTGTGGGGATCCCCAGATGTGTCACCCCAGCTGCCAGTCCAGGAGCTGTGGGGTGAATGTGGGATTTTTGGCAGGCCTACCTGTGGGACAGCAACAAGGACCTGGTGGAGTGGCTGGAGAAGCAGCTGACGGAGGAGGAGGGCGTTCGCTCGGTGGTGGAGGAGAACATCAAATACATCTCCAGGGATTACGTGCTCAAGCAGATCCGGAGGTGGGTGCAGGGAGGGGCCGTGGGTGGGACCAGGGACGGCTCCAGGGCTCCTGCCCCTCGCAGGCCACCCGGGGCCGTGTCCCCTCCCAGCCCCACATTCCAGCCCCCTGGAATTCCTGCTGGCAGCTCCGGAGCTGCCTCACTCCGCTGTGTCCTCTTTGCAGCCTGGTCCAGGCCAATCCCGAGGTTGCCATGGATTCCATCGTGCACATGACCCAGCACATCTCCCCCACCCAGCGAGCCGAGGTGGTGCGGATCCTCTCCACAATGGACTCGCCTTCCTCCACGTAAGAGCCTCCAGCCCAGGCTGCCCCTGCCCGGCACCGCCAGGAGGGACCCGGAGCTGGGAACTGCCCTTTGTCTGCTCGGCGCCACGGGGAGCCTCAGGGAACGCTGCTGCAGTGACAGTTTTATTTTTTCAGATCAGGCTGACCAGAGGAAGCGTGTCCTTTGGCCAGGGACACGAGGCAAATGTATAAACACAAGCGCCTGCGGAACTGAGCCCCCGCTGTCCTCCTGTACCTTATTTATTGACCAGAGCGGGGCTGGGTGCTCCGGTACCGCGAGGCCTTGGCGTGGCAGGGCCCTGCAGGGACATCCCTGACCTTCCAGGGACACCCCTGGCCCTGCAGGGACACCCTGCCCTCCTCTCCTCTCCTCCCCCGTGCCCGGCAGCAGCAGCAGCTCTGTGCTGACAAGTGCCAATGTCTCCCTGTCCCCTCTCCGGGGACCCCCACAGCCCCTGGCTCTGTCAGTGGTGATTTGTGTGTCACCCTCTGTCAGTGGTGATTTGATTTGTGTGTCCCACGTCTGTCTTGTCTCGTAGGTGGAGTAAAACCAGCCTTTGGCTGCTGTGGCCAGGGCTGGCCCCGTGCCCCCAGGAGGCTCCCAGGCTCCCCCGGGCTCTGAAGGCTTTTGGAGGGCAGGATTTTGGGGGCTGAGCCCCCCTGGCTTTGCCTTTGTGCCCAATTCCTTTAGAACAGGCTGTGAATTGTGTGAAAAGCCCTTCTGGGAGGAGGTACAAGAGACCAAAGTGCAGCTGCTCAGCGTTTCTGCTTTCCCTTCCCGGTGTTTTCAGGGAGAGCGGACGGGGCAGCCCCGCTGTGTATCCCTGCTGTAAGTGCTCATCCCCTTCCTGCAGGCAGCAGGAGCCAGATCCAGGCAGCTGAGGTGAGGGGGGAGAAAGGACAGAGCCAAATCCCCCAGTGGGCTTGGAACTGCAGAAGGAAATCTCTGAGAATCTGAGGAGAGCTTTTCTCCAGCATCCTGCCCTGCCCCAGAGCTGCCTGTGCTTGGCTGGGGAGGGGCCACTCTTACCTGGGAATGGGAAAAAATGTTGGGTTTGGTATCTCATTCCAATGGTCAGGATTAATTGGGTGTCAGGCAAGTGCAGGAAGGGTTGACAGCTGCCCAGATCCACAACTTCTTTGTACGTGTTTTTTATGTAACAAAAGCTCAGAGAAGCTGCAGTGCTGGAGGGAAGCACAGCCCACCCCTCACACACAGCTCCTGCTACGGAGCTGGGTCTGGCCAGTCCCGGGCTCACCAATGATGGTCCTGGAAGAATTTCAGATTTTACAGCCCCTCCTTTGGTACAGCAGGAAGGGCTGGATGTCAGAAGTGTGGTCAATCAGAAGGGCTGTTTTTATGAGAGAATGAATCAATGATGCTGCCAGTGCCTCTCACCTCTCCTTGTTTCCTCCCGAAGTGCAATGCAGCCCTTCTGCCTGTGGTGCCAGTGACTGGAGGTGCCAGCCCGGGGTCGCTGCCCCCCTGCCCGTGGCCAGCAGAGCTCGGCCACCTGCAGGTCTTGCTTTTTCTTAATAGTTAAGAACCCTAATTTGATTTAAGAGATTTTTTTTTTTCCCCACTAGAGCCCCCTGAACAAGCCCCAAAGATGCTTTTGCTTACGCCAGGGTGGGCTGCAGCAGGACACACAGACAGAGAATGTGTCAGCCAGGCAGGACCGGACCTGTGGGCTCCTCCCCTGCCTCCAGGGCTCCCCCGTGGTGTCACCAGAGTCCCTTTGCAGGACATGTGCAGGTGCAGTGGGCCGTGTCCCTGTGCCCACAGCCCCGTGCAGAGCAGCTCCCCCATTGCAGTGCTCCAGCACCGCCCCAGGCCCCGCTTCACCTGGGGCTAAAACAGCTCCAGAAAAACCTGTGGGGTGACATCGGGGTCTGGCCCTGGCCTGGGGGGTCTGGGGCTGCTGGGGCCCTGTGGCAGCAGCGCCTGTGATGGCCCCAGGTGTGTGGGGGGGTGGGGGAAGCCCCCTGGGTACGAACGGTTCTCGCTGGTGCTGAAGTATTCACTTACCTCAATTTCTTTTAATAAAAAGAATGAATTACAGCTCTGTTGCTGCGAGTGGAATCTGTCACCCCTGTGCTGGGGGAGCTGAGCTTTGCTTGAGGCCAGGACAGGGAGGGTTCTGTGGAACCCCTCCAGGCCAGCTCTGCCCCATCCCAGGTCCCCATTCCCCCAGGGGTCTCCTGATGGTGGCCACTCCCCAGCCCCATCCACCACGATTTATTTTGTCACCTTTAACATCACAGTGAATGGGACAAACAGGAAAAACCCCCAGACCTCAGTGACTGCTGCTGAGGTGGGAGAACTTCGGGACCCTCTTCCCAGGGCAGTTTTACGGGCAGGGATGGTTGGACTGGATGATAGGAGACTTTTTCCAGCCTCACTTTGTGCCCTGGTCAGTAGGAGCCTGCAGGGAAGGAACTTTGGCTAAAGGATGTCCCTGGGAGCAGATCCACAACCACCCTTTGGAGGTCTCCACGTGAAAGGTGAGATTTAAATTTACCCACATGAGCCACCACAGCTCCTGCGCTTGATTCTTCATGTTTCTCAAACCAGAATCCTGACAGTTAAAATCTGGGGGGTGGTGAGGGGGCAGACCCTACTGAACTCCAGCATCACGTTTAAAACTCTTTAGCCTAAAATATCTCCATATTAAAATGCCAAGAAAAGACGTACCAAAGCTGTAAGCTCTCCAAAGCCCAAGATCAAAGTGCCATCATCTTTTAATGTAAACCTTTTGTTGCATCAACAGTCTTAAGAAGGATGAGAGACATCAAAATAAAAACTGAGACAAACTGGGGCTTTGTAGCTGTTTTTTGTTTTAGTCTCTTCTCTCAATTTGGGCCATGAAATAGGTCAGCTCCATTACTGATCAGCCTTCCCACAAATATTTAAAACAAATTGAATTGCACACCCAATACCCATCACAATTACGCCAGGCACAATAACTAAATTAGCAATTCAACAAAATAATTGGAAATGCGATTCTCTCCATTCCAGAGCCTCCCCCGGGGGTTTGGCCGATCTATGGGGGGAAAACTCTGCTTTACTAATTCTGCAGCTAATTAGAGACACACTTGTAAATGAAGTTGTTTGTCTGAAAGTTGAAATTCTTCGCTGTGGCGGGGCTGGGGGGAGAGGATTAACACAACCCTCTGTCCCTCCCTCTGCACACCCCAGTCCCCAAAACACCTCCGAGTGTTTTGCCAAGGTGTAATGCCCATTTGTGGAGGTACTAATTAGCAGCTGTATCATGAATTAATAAAGAATTAATATTCTGGTTGGGGGGGGAGGGAGGGAAGATCTCACTTGCTGTTAATTGGCAGCATTAGGAAAAGTTGGTGGAAATCACCCCTGGGTCTTTGTGTGTCCAGGGACACTCGGGGAGCTGTGCCCGTGCTGGACCCTGGGGACACTGCTGAGGCACAGCCCCCTGTCCCTGCTGTCCCCAGGCTCTGTCAGGTGCCACCACCACGCTCGGGGGATGCCAGGGGCTGCACTTTCCCTGCAGCACCTCCACATCCAGCCACGGCCCCTTTTCCTTGGCCTTTCCAGCAAGGTCGGAGCTGCAGCGGGGCCACATCCCCCGGGCCAGGCTGTCCCCGTGTCCCCATGTCCCAGGCTGTCCCAGTGTCCCAGGCTGTCCCCGTGTCCCCAGCCCAGGCTGTCCCCATGTCCCCAGCCCAGGCTGTCCCCGTGTCCCCAGCCCAGGTGCTGGCAGGGATGGGGATGGAGAACCGGCTGCTTCCACACTGATAAGTGAATTCCAAAGCCGTGCTTAGCGCGGCTCGGGCTCTTATCTCCTCCAACAATGCTGGCGAGAAGTTATCGCATTTAAAGTGGTTGGAATTACCCTTTTAACATTACAGCCAGAAAGAGAACAGCAAAAAGCACCGAGAGCCCCGGAGCTGCGGCTGCAGAGGACACGGGAGAGGCAGGGGAGGCTGGCACAGCTGGGGCAGGGCTGGGATGGGCTCTGGGGGACACTGACATCCCCCACGGGCACCAGTGGCTCCTGAAATCCTGCTGCTTTTCTGCCTGGCCAGAGCTGGGGAGGGAGGAGAGGGAAGGGAAATCGATGTCCTTCCCTGGGAGCTGCAGCTCCTCTGCGAGGGAGCAGAGATTTATTCACCCCTGAAAGCTCTGCTCCACCCAAAGTCAATCCTCACCTGGCACTTGGCCTTCTGAAGGAAACCTGATGTGTTCCCACAGGGCAGGAGGGACCCTGGGGCCATTCCTGCACGGATCACACCGGGACAAACAGCTCACAAACCTCTTTAATTGGGGTGCCCAAAGCCCAGCCAGGGACGGGGCAACTCTGGCACAAGCTGTGGCAATCAGTGACGCCAGAGAAATGCCAGGTCTGACTGATCAGGGCAGCTCCCAAATTCCCTTCATGGGGATTTACTGCAAAGCCCCCACACCCCTCACCTCTGTCCCGGGCTGGGACCCTGCCCATGCTGGAGAAGTCCCCGAGAGCTTCCCACAGCACCAACATCCCGGCACATCCCGTGTCAGGAGCAGCAAACGTCCCTGTGTGTGCTCAACAACCAGAATGGGAACTGGGAGCCTGCACAGGAGCACCTTTCCTCTGTTTTAAGGCCATGTTAATTATGGAAATGACATTTAAATCCTCTTGACTGGTGAAAAATGAAGTCACACACTCCCAATATGCAGCCAAGCACCAGAACAGGGCACTGAACCCCCACAGCCCCCAAATCTCCAAGGTTTTAACAAAACCAGGAGGGGATGGATTGTGTCCCTCCCCCACACTGTGCCCAGGATGCAAAATTAAGGTCAGGAGTTGAAAGGGAATAGTTAAAAATGGATTGTCTTTGGGAGGAAGCACTCCAGGCTGGACAGGGGGTGTTCAGCCAGGCTCACTCCTTTCTCTGACTTCACGGGGTTTGATGCTCCTTCAGGGAGGATTTTAGGGACAAAGCAGAGGCTGCAGAGAGCTGGCTCTGCTCCTGGGCAGCCTGAGGGAGCAGCTGAGGGCAGAACCAGCTGGGAGAACACCAGCAGCTCAACCCCAGATCCTAATTCTGCTCCAGCTCTTCTCCGTTCCGGACTTTTCCAAACAGCGACTGATAAAGCTCCGTCCTGGGAAAAGAAAAGGTGGAGAGGGAAAAGTTACTTTTCAAGGTCAGAATGGAAGCAAAAGGCTGCCACAAAACCTCCACTCCTTCCATAGGAAAGGCCTCATGTAATTAAAAATGCATTTGAGAATCTTTATTAATAAATACAGGCGGGGGAGGGGGGGAACTCGTGTGAGCCCAATCCCAGGCAGGACAGAAATACGGAAATATTCCAGTGTGGCTGGATATTGCATCTCCAGAGAATGAGGGTTTCTATAAGTTTGCCCTTTACAGACAGGCTCTTCAAGTAAGAAAACAAGATTGAATATTTTAATAGGATGTACGGGGCTGTGAGGAGGATTCAATCACACAGCCAACGTGGGGCTGTAATTTAGTTTTCATACATTTTCTTGGACAGTACTTGAAAAACAATGAAAATGACCCAGCAACAAGATTCCAATTAATATCCCATGTGCAGCAATTCTGATAACAGGAGCAAATTTCCCTTTAAAAAAAAAAAAAAGAAAAGTGGGCTGGTGTTATTTATCTTTAATTTTAGAACCAGAGAACGTGAGCTGGGGGAAAGGAGGGATTCTTATAAACCAGGCATGGAGGGAAAAGCAGGGCAAGAGCTGGATTTTCTCTGCCTGCAGCTCCTAAAGCCTGTGGTGGGTGCACAGATGGGGTTTTCCCTTCCAAGCACAGCAATATTTGGGTTTGGGCCCCATCCCTGCTTGCAGACACCTCCATGGGAGGTTCCCTGTCAGCTTCCAAAGGAGGAATTCCATGTCCAGCAGAGAAGGCAGAACTTCCCCAGGAAGTGAAGGAATGAAGTCTCAGTGCCAGCAGTGCAGGATGGATGGACAAAGTTTTGTGCTGCCCTCAGGGAACAGCCTCAAACCCTCCTCAAAAACCACCCTAAAGGAATTTGGGAAATTCCAGAGGGGTCTTGCTCCTCTCTCCAGGCTCTCTAGGCCCTTCCCCTTCCACATTCATTTGTTTTTTCCATCCCCAGGTGCCCATTTTGGGGAACCCCACGGGAATTACTCAAAGAGAGCAAAGCTTCTGTGTCCGCCTCATGAGCAGCTAAACCCCAAAGGTGCTGCTCTGCAGCTGCCTTGGCCTTTCCTGCTGGGGGAGAACCCAGGAGGAGAATTCCTCGGGTTTTTGTCTTCATTTTTGTGGGTTTGATGTTCTCCTGTGGGTGCAGCAGTTCAGGGATCGACGCTGAATTTGCTCCAATCCCACAGATTTGAAATAAACAGCGATTTTTCAAGCAAGCAGGGCCTGGGGAGGTTTCAAGGAAGAATTTGTCTTTGCTGGCAGAGCAATGTTTGCTGACACTGACAGCTGTGACATGGAAACTCCAGGTTTTGGGGTCAGGGGGATTCCCTCATCCTCCCAGGAATGGCACTGGCAAAAGGAATGGGATGAAGCAAAATCCCAGTGGATCTGCCTGGATAATGACACAGCAGGGACAGACACAGATGAAAGAAGGAGAGAAATCAGGTAACCCCAGCACCTCCAAAACAGGGCAAATATTTCACCCTGAAAATAAAATATAAAAGAACCCAACCCTTTCCCCCCTCTCCTCATCAGCCAGGCTCCCTTTCTCTTCCAGCCTCTCCCCTCAGCAGGATTTAACCATGCAGAGAGTAAAACTCATCAATCCTCCAGGTTTAACCTTGTCTGTGTTTCAATTCACCAGGGTAAGTGCAGATTTTAATACTTTCAGCCCCCTTCAGGCAATGCATAATGAACTTGGATTTTGGTTTAAAAAATATCAAATTTCTCTCCTCCACCCAGATATATTAAGCAGCAGACTTAAGGCAGAGGGTTGAAACACCCAGTGCTACCTGGAGCTGGGGGAAAGGTGACTTTAGCACCAGGAGTGCAGCCTGTGCTGAGGAATAACCTGGCCAGGTAATTAACACAACTTCCACCTCAGCTACAGCCAGAGCAGGTCGATACAGGGGTCTTCCCTGAATTAAAATTTAACTTACCCTTTATTGCAACCCACAAAAGCAAGTAATGAGCACTAACATTTTTATTTCTTTTAAACTGTCATTTAGGCTGTAGAGGGGATAATTACCTATTTCCACTGTAGTAAGGTTTTATCACCCTTAGTGAGGCATTTTCTAATTTAATATTTTTACTGTATTATCATAAAACCTGTTTCTGGAAAAAATGATCAGGAACCACACAGCCATTTGCCATAAAACATGTGTGTGTAAGTACCTTGGCTTAATTATTTATGCATCTCTTCCAGAGACAGGGGATGGCACGTGGCACCTCCCCACCTGGACACTGCTGCTTCCAGGTCAACAATATCAGTTTTAAAAATGAAATAAAAGCAGCTCCAGCCAGTCCAGGTGGTGAGCTGGGGTGCTGAGAGTGGTTCTTCCCCCTCCAAATCCCAGGTGTTGCCACCACAGACATTTTATAAAACGAAAACAGAGAGAAAGGAGTGCCCTGGATGAATATTAATAGCTGCAGCACATTTCATAAATCTCTGTGAAGCATCAAAATACAAATCACAAAACCTCTCAGCAGATCCCCAGGAATCTCCTCTGCCCCCCTGCAGCAGCACCAAACACTCAGAGGGGAAACCAAACATGGGAGGGGGCAGCCAGTGCTGGGCTGCTCTGGGTAATTACAGTCATGCTATTTCCTTTTTTAAAACACAGTTCTTTAAATCTGTAGAAGAACAATATCAAGGGGAACAATTCAGTTTCTAGGGGGTGTTTTTTTTTTTTATTAAAATAGCAATAGTGCTCCAGTCACTGCTGTGCTCTTTAGTGAAAATACCCTCCAACCAACTTCTCTGCCTTTTCCCAAGTACCTTCTACTTCTTCTCTTCTTCTACCCCCAAAAAAAGACAATTTAGAATATGCCACAAGCAGTACTGAAATGAGTACATCCCCCATTCCTACTGCCATGCTCTGCTGGGAACTATGAATTTTTAATTCACAAAAACTGGAAAAGATGGAACATAAACACCCGTGGAAAACACACAGCTCCTGATGGAATCTGAAGTTTCCTTGGAAAACTTTCTGTGTGCCAGACTGGCTCAGCTGGTCAGAGCAGGTAACACCAGGTTTGGGGGTTCAACCCATGGGTGGATCATGCACTGAAGAACTGGATTTGATGACCCATGTGGGTCCCTTCCAACTCAGAATACTCTGTGAAATGTTTTGTCCAGTGGTGTGAAATTCAGATTAAAGTGCCCAGCAAGCAGGAGGAGACAAAACAAAGCTGAAGCCTTAAATTTCTCAATAAAAATGAATATTTCTCTTACAAAATGAAATGAAAGGAACAGGAATTCCAGGTGAGCTTGGTGTGCTCAGTGCCCAGGGGATTTTACCCACTCCAAATCCCAGGTATTGCTGCTCCACACCAGGAAGGCAAAACAGGCTGAAACCATTTATTCCCAGTTTCTACCCAAAGGTTGAACCAGCCCCAATTCCCAGCCAAATCCTAAAGCCAAGAGAGCTCTGCTGTGCATTCTCACAGTTCCCAGCACACATTCCCTGCTCCAGCATTCCCAGATGGGATCACTGGATGGGGTTAAAGGGGCTGTGGGGCTGCTGCAGCCCCAGGAGGTGGCACTCACCCTCTTCCCAAAATTCCGGCCAGAAATCCCAGGAGGCTCACAAAGGGCTCCTGCAATCCCCTCCCTCCCAGGCAGGTCGGGATCGGGTCCTTTGTGCCTCTGCAGATGCTTTTAGCTTTAAATTACGGGAGGTGACATGTGACCTCTGGCTCATCCCCTGGGGGCAGCCACGGGGTTTATAAATATTTCACAAAGCTGGTTCTGGCCCTAAACAAAGGCACATCTGGAGGGGCTGGATGTGGGGATGGGGTGAGGAGAGGGGGACAGCAGAGGGATGGAGCTCAAGGCACTGTCCCCAGCCATACCCAGCCCTGGGCTCCATCCCTGCACCAATTGCAACATTCCAGCAGCACTCGGCCTCCTGCCCTGAGCTCACAGACATGGAGCACTGCTGGAACCTCTCTCACCCTGGTTTTGGTCCCAACCCCATTTCCACAGGAGCTTTTGCAGCACAAAGCACAGAAGATGCAGAGAACCAGCAAACACAGGGAGGGGCAGACACCTCCAGGCTGCTCCACTGGCTCGTGCTCCAGCAGCTCCAAATTCCCCAGGAAATCCATCAAGTGTCGCTTTCCCAGGCTGGTTTGGGATGGGTATTTGAGCAGGGCAGGCTCTGGGATGCTGCTGGGAAGTGCCCTGTGCAGAGGGAACCGTTCTTTGTGCTCCTCATATTCCGAGGACGATTTCCCTCTTTCACAGCTTGCCTGTTTTATAACAGATTTGATGCAGGAGAAGACAAATTGTCTCACAAAGGAAAAACGACAAATCATCTCGCAGCCCTTAACAGGTTATTTTTTTTTCCCCTTTTAAGAAAGAAATTTCCATACCAGAGGTGCCTGTCTTCTTGCCAGGGATGTCAAACATCAGCTGTGGGGACAGGATGATTCCAGCCCAGTGCCAGCAGCTGGGTCACACTGCACTGGCAGCTGAAGCCACAGGACCCTGTGCAGCCCTTCCAAAAGCCCTGGATGAGGGACACGGGTGCCACACTGCACCTCCAGGGGCTCACCAAGCCACAGGCTGGGGGGATTTTAAATACAACTAAATCAGGCACAAATAGAAGAAATCTCAAGGCCAGGCTTAGAGCAGCCTGGGACAGGGGGAAGTGTCCCTCCCAACCAAACCAGTCTAGGATTCTGGGATTCTATGGTACCAAAGCTGTGGTGCCTCAGGATCAATCCAAGCAGGTTTAGTGGCACAGGATGACGTTTCTCCTTTGGTTCTTGAGTGCCCTTCTTGCTCCTGCTACTCCCTTTGTTTCCTACAGCAAAGCCAAAGCAGGACATCCTCTCTTCCAGGCTGGGCCTGAACAAACCTGGAGGCATTTTGCTCACACCAGCAGGGTCAGTGGGGTTTGTGCCATGCACAGGAGCTGCTGGCTCAGTTCTTCCAGCTGGAAGGGCTTTGCTTCCTCCCAGGAATTCTGTGGTGGTGAACACCCTGGATTGACAATCGCCGAGCCCAAATTCCTCCATTAATCTGCTCTCATGGTGTTTTAATACCCCAAGTACAAAGTGAGCCAAGTTAAAGGCTGGTATCTCACCAACCTTTTTTTTTTTTCTTTTTTTTTTTTTATTAAACTCTTATGTCATATGAGTAAATTAATCTTTTAATACCAGGATTTCCTGCTACGTACCCCCCTCTGCTTGCGAGACGCTCTGTGACAAAGCAAGTGCACTAAAGGGAGAATGCTGATTGGGAAAATGCACAGGGCCTGGCTGGATCCAAGGGAAAGGCTCTAATCCAAACCTCACTGGCAGCTGGATAATCTGGGTGTTAATTCAGCCTCCCAGCAGGCAGCACTCTGCTCCTGCAGGAGCAGCACTGGGCTGGAGGCTGCTGTGCCACGCAGGACCCCGGGTTCATTTCCTGCACTGGGATGTGGGATTTAAGGAAGTGTTTCCCACCTCACGTTGTGGTGACACTGCATGGCTTGACAGTCCCATCAGAGCCATCTTCTTCCCTCTGATTTGGCTCATGAAGGATGCAAATTTCTCCTCCCTAATGAGGATCCCCTTGCCAAGGCATAAACCAACCTGTATAAAATGGGATCTATTCCCCCACCTTCCCCCAGCTGTAAATCCCCATCTGCAATTCCAGCGTGTCCCTCGTGTCCTGCCTGACTTTCCTGCAGAAGAGGCTCCCTCAGAGCCCTGGGTACCAGGTTTAATGATGATGTATGGGTGCCCCTGCCCTCGGGGGGTGCGGGGAGGGGTCACTCGTGTGACACCGCCTGCCTGGGTATCAACAGCAAATTATAAACCGTGTCAATCCCAGCTAATGCAAAGCTGTAATCCTCTTTAACAAGAGATCAAATCAGTGCCATGAGTTATGTTCATTCTGTAATCTGATAAGAAATAGAGTGAGCCTCTAATAAAAGAGTAATGAGAGCCCTTAATGATGCTGTTAAAAGGTAGCGCCAGTTAAAATATTGCTGTTGTTCCAGCTGATTAGATCACTGTTGCATATTTGCACAATCTTGTTTTACCTGTCAGAATAACCTGAGTTGTCTTGGGAGATAAAGGTCTTTGGACCAAACATCTGTGTCCTTAGAGGATGTCTCTTCCTGCAAGTTACTGTTCTCCAGAGGTGAAATTAGGGCGTTCATCAGACTTTGCAGTGATGTGACACCAGCCCCTGTTTCACGGTGTCTGCTCCCCTCACTCGGGGCCAATGCAGAGACCTGAGGGTTTGTGTGTCACAGCTGCCACAGGATAAAGCCCAAATGCACACCCAGCTCTGCCAGGAACACAGGCTGGCCTGGGACTTGGATCCACCCCACACCTGCCCTCACCCTGCAGGTCTCCAGGGGCAATCCTGAGCCTCAGCTTGTCCAGAAATAAATACATGGATCTGGCACAGGAGCTCTCTGCAAGTGCACACACGTCTGAGCTGCCAAAAGAGGAGGCCTTCAGGGCAATGACTGCACAGAAGGTCTGGGTTCAACCACAGCTCCAGCCCAGTCCTGTGTGGGATCTTTAGGAATCCCCTGAGGCTCTTGCCTCAAGGATCTCTGGAGCCAAAAGCCTGTGGAGATTGGGGCTGTCACCTCTCTGTGCCCCATTTCACCTCTCTGTGCCCCATTTCCCAAAGCAAAGACTGGCCTGCTCCCACCCTGCTGCTCAAGGTGCTACTGAAGGATCCATGTCCTGATGATGGCAAAAACCTATTGCAAGGGAAGTCCAAGAAGGGGAAACCACATGAGGCGACCCTCAAAGCCAGGAGAAACCACAACCAACCTTGTCCTGCCCCAGACAGCTCCTCTCTCCTCTGGACAACCCCACACCACACTCCCAGCTTTGCCTTTGGGTTCCTTGTCCCAAGGCAGAGCATTTACACAGCAGTGACCTTGGGCCGATTAGAAAAACCTCGGCCCACGAGGACAATAAATGTGTTAAAGTCTATAAACACAGACCCCAAGGTAACCATAAAAATCACTGCCCAGTGTGTGTTTTAAAATACTACCAGAGAGGGGTTAAAAGGGAGGAGGGCTGGAGGCCACCAGTGCCCCACACATTACAACATAAAAGATGTGAGCAGGAGGTTAAAGAGCCCTGCCCATGCTTGGGGTGCCTGGAAATCGGGCAAGGGGAAGATTAATGCCTCCAGCAATGCTGTCATCCCAGCCAGCAGCAAGAGTCAGGCAGAAAGTGGCAGGGATGTTGACAAAGGAAGCTCTTTGACTTGTGTGCTTCCCTTCTCGAATTCAGGCTGTAAAATCTGGAGTGATCCCCTTCTCCTGGCAGTGCTCAGGCTGCTTCTCCCCACAGGGATTTCTTTTCTTTCTGTTTGTACAGCCAAGGAAGAACCAGAACCACAGCACCGCTCACTCCCTGCACTCTGCACTGCCCCCAAGCCCACCCACACCTGCAGACACGTATTTATTTATGTACTGCTGCCTTCCTGCCCCTGTGGCCACTGGTAAAACTCAGAGGGAAAGCTCTGCCAGCTGTTTCTACATCCATTTTATACACTGGCACTGGGAAATCTCTCTCACTACAGCACAGTGCCCTGTTGATCAGAGATGTATTCATTTTGGGGTCATGCTTTTTAAGTGCCTGACCAGAAAAAAAATAGAACTCAGAGCACAGTCACATCTCTGTGAAGTGTACATGTGCATTTTCAATCCAGTAATTCATACCTGCAAACAATAAAATTATCTGCTTCTGCCACAAAGGGAAGCTGCTATCACTGCTGCTTCCCTCTCCAGCACACAAGCATGGCCTGTTCTGTTTAATTCACCTGCAGATGTTGAATTCCTCTTGCCTTGTGTGGTCTGGCTGTGTGCTGGACAGAGGTTCTGTGGCTCGTGCCAAGGGCAGGGGCATTTAACCAGAGAGGTGGAGCTGACCCCAGAGAGTGGCTCTGATTTTCAAACAAATGACTGAGAGCAGCAGATCTCTTCACCTGGGGAGAGCTGAAACAAAACACCTCCAAAAGTCCTCATTTTCAGACCCCACTGCAGTGTTTTGGATGTGTTCTGTGTATGGATGCAGACACAAATGGTGGAAACTGGGCACGAAGACAAAAAGTAACACCCAGCTTCTCACAAGAATTCCCACTCAAATGTGCAAGGGCTGCTGCAAAGAGGAAGCAAGAACCAGTTCCCAAGAAGTTATGGTCCTAAATTACAGCAGAGGGAAATTTAAGCTAAACATTAGGAGGCTGGAGGAACAGCTTGGAGCCTACCACAATTCTTTTTGTGATGAGAGGACTGAAAAATCAGAGCAGCTGGGGCTTTGCTCTCCCTTGAAAAAAAAAAATTTAAAAAAAGAGAGAGAAAAAAAAACCAGAGTAAAACAACTCTGAGAAAGATGCACTGATGAGACAGCACAGGTCCTATGAACACAAAACTTCTCATCCATAAGTCCTTGCAATCCCCCAAAAGGCAGCAGCAAGAGAGCAGCAGGTATTTGGTTTCCATTTCACAAACAGACAAATAACACTCTCCCTCACAAAGCACAAACATGTTCCACAACCCTAGGGAAAGATGTTTCTCAAGCTTTCTGCGTCCATTCACTGGAAAAATTATTCCACCTCCTTTTCACAAGCAGATTTGGGGTTAAAGTGTATTGCCAAAGAAATATGGGTGGCTGTGTCGAGAGCTGCCTGGTGACTATGCACAAAACTTCACTGGTGCTTTCTTTACTAATTACTACATTAAAACATTATAGTCTTCCAATAAAATCCTTTACTCTTTAAACAGAGATAAACACAGACAGCATAAAAGTCTTGAGTGAATCTTGAGAGAATTATTCCATTTATTAACTGAGCTAAGAAACTACACATGAACCAGAATACATAAGTTGCCATTTCTGTTAGAAGAGAAGCTCTTTTTAAGTTCTGATTCTACCTGAAGACACCAGGTGGCTTAGCTGTGTATTTCCAAACTAATTCCATGAAACAGGGAAATTTCAAAATGGGAGGAGTTCTAAAGCAGCAACCAAAACATAGGTGCTGAGATTTATGACAACTTCTTGTTTGGTGTCACAGTAATTACAGAGTGAAAGCTCAGCCAGGCTGCCAGGACAGATGTGACCAAGACACCCAGGCTATGATGCCAGTGACAAATGGGGAACTGATAAGGAGGAATGGAGAGGGTGACAGGCTGAAGAACAGGTCAATACCACGCTGTCATGGAGCCATTTGAGAAACATAATTAATCTTGTACTCACCTGGCATCATCATTCATTGTGCACTGGTCAATAGGTGCCATGAAGCTCACCAGCTTGCTGTGGACATGGTACCTGAGGAGAGCAGCAGGCAGCACATCAGGAGCTGCTCATGAGCAGGAAATGCTGCCTGCCTGCCCAGGAACAGCCCAGCTCCCCCAGGGAAAGCAGGGCTGGCCTGGGGGCTGATCCCTAAGGAGTGGCCAGCTGCAGCTGGCAATTCCCCCTCCCCTCTCAGAACAGGAATAATCAGGTGACACAATGAACAGCAAACTCCTTCTCATCCCAGCCAGGGACAGCACAGCAGCAGCCACAAACTGTGAGCCCCAGACAGACAGCCCTGAGGGGTCAGACAGACAAACAGCCCCTCCTTCTCAGCCCTCCCTCATCTGGCATCCTCACCCGCTGCTGACACCTGTGCCCACTGCAGGCAGCAGGAGCACCAGACCTGCTCCAGCATCCATCTGCTCAGAGCTCTGCAGGGCCCTGAAGGACAGCAAAATCCCACTCTGGAGCCATTTCCAGAGCTGGAAAATCTTACCCTGAGTAACCTGCAAACAGAGCATGTGAAAACAAGGGGAGGAGGAGACAGGAGAGAAGGCCTGTGCACAGATGGGATGGGGTGTGTTCTCATCACCCAAACATTGCTGCAAGCTCTCCTACCCCTCCAGAGAGAGCATCTCCTTCCCATTTGCCACCCTGGGCAGGAGCCTGCAGGGATTTAATGATTTATATTCAAGGACCAGACATAAAATCTAACAGGGTACTGAGAACTCTCTGAATGAGAATGCTTTAAACCCTGTGTGCAGGGGCAGGGGATTCCAAACTCAGGTGTTTGTGTGCACTGCCTGCCTGAGGTGTTCCATCCAGGCTGCTGCTATTTTTAGAGCTTGACAAATAGCAGGCAAAAGGATTCACTAGCATTTGCCCAGCATCACCTTTCCACTGTGCCACCTCTGCACTCCCTTTTGTTTGCCTGTGCAGGAACCTTCCCCAGGGATGCTGAGCTCACAGCCCCCCTCAGAAGGCTCAGCAGGCACAGCCTCACACCAGGCTTCTCTGCACCCTGCAGCCTTTGTCCTGCCTCTGGAAGGAGCTGCCCTGGTGTGATGCTGCAGGGATGGAGTCAGGAGCAGCCACAAACTACAGGGGACAGCCTGGGCTGTGCAGAGCTCCAGGGGACAGCCAGGGCTGTCCTGGCACGGGCTCGTGGCCACTCAGCCTCTGGCACCAGCTGTTTGTCCACATCTGATTGCTTTTTAAATCAGGGCTCTGAAAACCCCAGTCCAACAGATGTGAAATATTTCAGTTAGTGGAGGGAAAGACGCCCCACATTGCAGCAGCACAGATTAGAAAACACTGACATGTGAAAGAGGTTTGCAAACATCCTTCCTCCACAGCTCCCTCCAGCAGGTTTCTCAAGTTTGGTTTTTGGATGAACTTATTTCCCCTCTTAGTGCCCAAATTTCCCTCATGCCAAGTGGAAGACTGGCTGCTTCTGGAAGCACCTGAAGATCCTCAGCCCCTCCAATAATCCAGCACATTGCATCTAAACTGGCTGTAATACTGAAGCTTTGCTAAAAATGAAGAATTAAGGAGAAAGATGAAACTTGGTATTATATACTTGGCTCTCCAGGATCTCAAAGTGATGAAGGCAAATTTAAGCACTGCTGTGCCAATTTTAGAGAACGACAAGGAAGAACAGAGGGTCAGGGATCTGACTGGGGTGACATCAAGTCTCAGTGGGAGCACCAACTATTTAAAAACACCCATTTAGGCTCTACTTTCCTATTCTGAAAAATGCAGGAGCTTAACTGCATTTTAATCCCAAGCACAGACAATGAGACTTTCTTTCTTTTATTGTTATTTTCCCTGCAGGGTCAGTACAACTTTTAGTTAAAGAAGCCAAAAGAGGCACCTAAGATGGAAGACTAGGGGGGAGAGCTGCTCTCCCAGGACTGCTGAAGGCACAGACTGCACACAATGAGAGATTTCCCCATTATTCCTGGAGGTTTACGAGGCTGCCTCAGTTGTGTGATGTTGTCAGGAGTTTTGACTGAATCCTGAATATATCCAATTATGTGTGATGCTGACAGAAAAGAATATTGATAGTCAATAATTATAGGCTTTTCAGGCCAACAAAGTAGCTCTTCCCTCTTTCAATAAATTATCTTATGACATCTATCTTAAAAATTGCTATGCCAGGCCAGACCCAGACTGACTCCACTGACTTTCTATCAGATGCCATCTAAACTCAGGATTTATAGTTTACTCACAAAGGATGGTTAATGTGGTGGATTTTTCAGGAAGCAGAGCAGCTTTTCAGCATCCTCCCTCCTCCACCACAAATCATGCTGATCTCAGGGAGACTCAGAGAGCTGCTCTGCAAAGGGGAAACACCCCCTGCCCTCCAGGCTGCTTCCCTTCCCACGTGGAAGATTCTTCCACTGAGTTCAACCCAAATGAATGATCCAGGAGGGAAATGATTCAGACATGAAAGAAGCTGTGATGTCAGTTACCAGCAAAGAGGGATTTGACACCAAATTCCAACTGGCACTCAGTGAGAAATAGAGATTTACCTGAGGTATTTCTGCACATCTTCCCTTGGAGGTGCTGCCCACGTCTCAGTCAGGAAATACAAATTGCCCAAGAGGGGTTTATTGGCTCTCTCTGGAAATTACAGCCCCAAATGGCTCAGGGACATGTGAGCACCTTTCTCTGGAGTTTCCCCAGACCCTGACTAGGGCAATGCCACCAAGCTGTTATTGCAGGCTCCATGAACATCAGCACCCAGAAATGCCCTCAAAGTCACAAATCAGCCAACATCCTCCAGAGCCAGCTGGGGTAAAACACACCCAGAGCTCTCAGACTTTTGTTTTGTTTTTTTTTTTAATCAGGACTTGTGTGTGCTTGCAGAAGGTGTCACCCACCTGATTCTCCTTCCTTTGCTGGCTTTTCTGTCCACTTTCTTCTTTATTTTGCTCCGTAACTTCTGGATGGCCAACCACTGCCTGGGGAATGCAGAACAACAGCAACACAACTTCAGAGCCACTCAGCACTCCCAGAAAGACTCTCTGATCCCCAACTGTATTAAAAGTTCCACTTCTCAGCCAGAACTTCCTCAAGTCAAAGAAGTTTCCAGCAGAGAAAAACTTCTCCTGGTTATAAATATTTTTTTTTAACTGAAACGAGCGTCATCTCACCTGATTTATACAATGAAAACTCGACATCAGGGAAAAAATCTAACAAAATCCAATTACTGCAATCTTAATATAATCTTAATTACTGTAATCTATTTTATTGTAAAGTCAGATAAATGTACAATGCAATCACCACTTAAATGTAATTTTGTCTATATCGTTTTAAATCACAGTGAATAGCTTTCCATAATATTCCAGACGTACACAAAATAAATTTGACACATTGCACTAAAATCTGGGTGATACTTTACAAGGAGAAAAGTTGTTTCACCATCACAAAATTTCCTGATGCATTTTCTTCCCCTCCTGATAGACAATCCCCCCCAAAGCTGTTTCAGGGAAGAGCCCAACTCCAGCTTTTCCAGCTTTCCTTGGCTTTTACACTTTTCTGAATCAGAGAAATTCTGTGGCTATTTCAATGTACACTGCTCATGAAGTGGCATTTGGAAGATTTCTAACTACTTTCTAACTCTACAATTAAATACAGAAATAAGAGCTTCACTGCATAGAATTATATTTTACTTCTGCATGCAGGGAACATTCCCTGATACTGTTTTAATTGTATAGGATCTTTTCTTACAGGAGGGATACACAGGAATTGCTTTAGCTGATGTCAGAAGGTTTATTCTTCTAAAACAACAGCAAAGCAGAGTTAACAAAGACACAAAGCCAAATTTCAGCAGTGGGTTTTTGTGCTGCAGGAACCACTGAGAGACAGAAATACCTGGACCAAACCTTTCCAATGGGGAATTATCTCCAGAGGATCACACACAAACAGCTGACAAGTCAGACTGGGTGATCCATAACTCAGGAGTCTGAGAGGATGAGCTTCCTGCCTAATGTCATAATGCCTTTTTCCAGGTGAACTCAGGATTTTGCCCTCTGCAATGAGCTGGACTGGAGGGGCACAGGTCACTTGGCTGGGCTGAAGGCAGAGATGTCACAGCCAGTCCCACTCACCTGCCCATGGCCACCTGGTCGTTGGGGTCCAGGGAAGTGGTTTTACGCTCGATCAGCTCTCGCAGGAGCTGCAGGAAAGACAAAAATCCCACGTGAAATAAGCACAGTTGTTGTGTAGCCAGCTCCCACAGGTGAAACAGGGGCAGATGTGCAGGAAAAGCTCAGCCCCACAGGGCTCCCCCCAACTCCTGGGGAAGGGCAGGGGGAGCTGAAACAATTCCCAAACAGGAGCTGGGCAGCGACGCTCGCTCGAGGAACAGCACAGCAAAATCATTTTTATAGCTACAGCAGGAATGCTCAGGCAGCCTTTTCTATTTCCTTTCATGTCCTGAGGGCTGAGGTTTGTCCTCTTTGCTTCCTGCAGCCAAAGGATGTTGTGAACAGCCTTTTTGGATCCTTGACTGGTGCTGCGTGTTTATCACCGCTCGCTGCAAACTGTGCGTGCCATGCCTTGGGTATTGGCCAAGATATCAGCACAAGGAACAGAAATAAACCCTCCAAAACCGAGGGGAACAAACTGCTTTATGCAGCAAGCACAGACATTACTGCCTCAGCTCAGGAACACCTGAAATGGACCCACCTGGAACCAGAATCCAGGCAATTCCAGGGAAGAAAGGATGCAGGATGCTTTTCCTCCACCCTGTGCCTCCCTCTCCTTCAAGGCATACATCACATTACCAGAAAAAAAGAGTGATTCAAACATAATTAAAAACCTGACACTTTTTTTTTTTCTACTTGCTTATTTTTGGAGATTATTACTGCTGCAATTACATTTAAAAATTCCAGGAGCCAGGCCACTGGTTTATTATCACTAGAAAACAGCAAGCTACTTCTCTGCCCTGTTTATCTGATTGATTCCCAACATCTTTCTGGCACACAATCTATCAGTTTATCTCTGCCACTTCATCACAGTCACTTCTGGCAGCTAAATACAAGATCCAAATCCAGTGTTACACAGACATACGACACAGTAAACCTGTGTAACACCACCACTCTGCAAACAGCTGCCCTTAAGGCTAAGCAGAAATGGGATCTTGCTTTCCAGTCAATATTCTGTCAAAAGCAAGGTGGGAGGGAGGTTTGGAGCAGCAGCCACAAGTGGTGAGGAGAGGTGAGAGTGGTTTCCTCCTGCTCCAGCAGTGAGGGGTGTTTGCTGTCTCCTCTGAGGCACAGAGATGTCACACACACACCCACTGTGCTCCCGGGGAAGCAGCAGCAGCAGCAGCAGCAGCGCATTTCCTGCAGGGCTTGGCTCCTCCTGCTGGCCCAGAAATCCAGACTGAAACACCAAGGAGTGCCCCAAGATCCTACACTTGTGCCCACACTGGTGGGAATGGGATGGGATATTGGGAGGGAATTCCTGGCTGGGAGGGCGGGCAGGCCCTGGCACAGGGTGCCCAGAGCAGCTGGGGCTGCCCCTGGATCCCTGGCAGTGCCCAAGGCCAGGCTGGACAGGGCTTGGAGCAGCCTGGGACAGGGGAAGGTGTCCCTGACTGTGATGGGCTGGAACAAGATGAGCTTTAAGGTTTCTTCCAACCCAAACCATTCCACGATTCCAAAGTGCATTTTTGGGGCAGGTTCCTAACCCTGAAGCAATTCTGTTGACTTTGGGGCTGCCAAGGCCTTCCAGTGCTCCAAATGTTCTTCCAGTACAGTGTGAGCTGTGGGACTGGGGACGGTGCCTGGGAGAGCAGAGCGAGGCAAAGATGAGGGAGAAGTAAAAAAAAACAAGCAGGAGCAAGAGGGAAATTAGGAAATGGAAATAAAAGCTATGAAGCATCTTGTTACATCTAAATAGCGAACGTCTCCGAGCTGAGGTTATAAATCATGCTAACAATGGTTACTAAAATAAAAGTGGATGTAGCCAGAGGCTACCACTGAAAAAGTCAGCCCAGGCCTGCCTGGCTGCCTTTGGTCTTTAAGGATTTGATTAGTTTTCTGCTTTCTGGTTCAGAGTCTTGCATCTAGCCCGTGTTCCAGAGCCAGTCAGGGCTCAGGATACAGAGTGAATGATAAATTCATTTACTGAATAAAGCAACACTGTTTTCCCAGCACAAGACTTAAACCACTTCCCAAACGGTAATATTTCATTAAGCCTGGCGATTCTGCTTAAAATTTATTAGTCAAAACAGAAAACTCTCATCAGACCCCATATATTCCATTAGGAGTGATATATGGTGTCTCCCAATGCCTAATTATTAACTAGGAAGTGTGAGTAAATCACCATCAGCGTTAAGCCCTGATGTGTGAAGACAGAGTCAGGCAATTCCAGCATCAAAAGGCTTTGATTTGAAAGAGATCCTGTTTTGCTTTCCCTCCTTCACCTCTTACCTGAACTTGCAGAACCTCAGCTCAGTCTCCCACGGCAGCAAACACAACTGCAGGGAGGCACAGCCCCATCCCACAGCTCCCTCCCAATCCCTGCTGCTCCTGCCACGAGCTGCCCAGGAGGACAAACCATGGGAGCAGAGGGAAGCTGGCAGTGGCAGCTGAATGTTCCTCGGCAGGAGGTGCTGATGTTTGCCAGGAGAGCTCCTGCTGCAGAGCCCAAACCTTGTCCTGACACCAAAGCCAAGATCCCTGCTGGAAGCACTGAAGAATTCCCCTACAACTCCCCTGAAGGAGATTCCTCAGTGCCAGGCAGAGAGATGCACACCAAAGCCACTGGGCAGAGTCAGAGGGACTTGGAAATGCCATCAGGGTGTTGTTCAAGGGCAACAGAGACTCATTTCTCATTTTAGAGGTCAATTTTCATTTTAGAGGTTAGGTCTCATTTTCATGCACTATCTATCAGTGTTTCTAATCCTACACTCGCTGACCTTTCTGATTTGCAGACCCCTAAGAATTTCCAGTTGAGACAAAGAGCTAAGGAGAGCTGAAATCAGCCTTGTGACAAAAGGCTCACTTGTCTTAGACCTTACAGAGCAAATCAAATTAAAAAAAAAAGTCCATCTGCAGATCCTCTTTCAAGCTCCTACTCAGTAGCTGTGTAACATTTGGATTTCTACCATCACCAGAGAAAATTTAAGTTTGCAGCTCAAATATTATTTTAAACCCCTTGAAATGCTTTTTAAAAACTTATTTTTTATATTTAATAAAATGCAAGCTGAAATCATTGGACAGCCTCTTTTTACAAGCCATTTTATTCAAATTCAGGTTTGTGTAAGATGCACAGATTTGCCTATTTTCGAATAACCCATTAAGAGAAGCTCCAAATCAAGCTTTAAAATGTGTTATTAACCATCTACCCAGCCATTTGAAAGATACATGCCTGTGATAAGAGTATTGTATTGCCATTAACCTGTGGGATGGTTCGAGACATCTCTTATTCACACAAAACTCTAAATGCATCTAATTAAAGCCACAAGATCAGCTGTCCATATTAATCACTCACCGGTTTAATTAAGGTAAACCAGCTTGTCACAAAGCCAGGCTTCTCTCTATTCTTCACCATTATTGACTTTTAATAGTTCCCTGGATTGGTAATTCCTTGTTTATGGCATGATCAAAGTCCTGGGAGAGGACACCACACTGTGGGCCCAGGATACTGCTGGGGACACCAGGGGAAATTCACCCCCCCAGTGAAGTTCTCCAAAGAGTCACCCAGCGGGGTTTAAGGACGCTGACCTTGGGGTAAATCCCAGCCGTGGGGGGATGAGAACCCCTCTTGGAAGGCTTTGGTGTTTCCCTGGATGCTCCCCCTCCTCTCTGCTGCCCACAGCCAGGACTGGTGGCCGTGGGCTGTCCCAAAACGCACGACACCACCAAAACCAGGGCAGGAAGGAGCGGGAGAGCAGAGGAAAAAAGGGATTACGGATATTCCCAATTCTCCTTAGGCATACCTGCTGCCAGCAGTGATGAACATTTGTTCTGGGAAGAGCTGCTACCAGTGGAACACTTAGCATATGAACACTAACCTAATTCCTGTTGGAAATAAACCAATTTCCACTCTCTCCTTTACCAGAGGAGTATTTCAACCTAACAATAAAATCTCCACTGTAGCATGTCAGAGCAGCAGCTCCCTGGTAGCAGGCTGGAATTTTAAGTCTTAATGCTGCAATATCAGCTGTAATGAATTCCACGTAAATATGACTTCTAAAAATAAAAAGCCTTTTTCTTCCCTAAAATCCATGTATGAAGGAGAGTTTAAAGGAAAAGGAAATGGGCTCCAGCCTCTCACTGCTGCCAGTAACGAGAAGCCTTCTGAAACACTTTAACTATTCCCACCCAAATAAAAATATTTCACTGCATTATTCAGCTCAGCCTTCCATCACCATCCAACAGGGGTCATCAAAATAAAAATTGTAACTGCTCATAAAACAAGCAAAGAATAGGAGAAAACGCAAAGTGGGATGAACAGGCAGAAGAGAGTTAAATCCTGAATCATCACAAAATTCCACCAGACCCACCTGCTGAATTCTACTGAATATTAAGACCTGGACAAGAAAATTGTTTTTCACCAGAAGAAAAACAGATTAATTAAAGAGTTTTTTATTATAATCTATAATAAAACAGTAGAACTACTTATTCTGTTATCATTAACTTGTGCACATTCATCAAATTGGGTTCATTTTTACTTGCCTAATTTCACACTGACACATAGAGGAAACAGCTTTCCAGTGTTGTTCTTTATCTGAATGTTTACCTTTTAAGCAGTAATCAAAATTAATTAATAACTATAAAATGTTATTTAGAAGAGTGAAAACAATCCCAAGGAAAGCCTGGATGGAGATTTAAACAGGGAGGGAGAGGCAGGTGCTGAAATGCAAGCTGCAATCAGTGTTATGCACAGGGGTCAGAGGTTGGGAGCACCCTCAGCTTGGTGCTGGATCACTCCTGGAGAAGCAGTTCCCTCCCTGGGTTTTATTCCCATGTCCACATGCAGCCACACACACACAGACACAGAGCACACACACACAGAGACACACACAGACACACACAGACACACACACAGACACACAGAGAGATACACACACACACACAGAGACACAGAGACACACAGAGACACAGAGACACACAGAGACACAGAGACACACAGAGACACAGAGACACACAGAGACACAGAGACACACAGAGACACAGAGACACACAGAGACACAGAGACACACAGAGACACAGAGACACACAGAGACACAGAGACACACAGAGACACAGAGACACACAGAGACACAGAGACACACAGAGACACAGAGACACACAGAGACACAGAGACACACAGAGACACAGAGACACACAGAGACACAGAGACACACAGAGACACAGAGACACACAGAGACACAGAGACACACAGAGACACAGAGACACACAGAGACACAGAGACACACAGAGACACAGAGACACACAGAGACACAGAGACACACAGAGACACAGAGACACACAGAGACACAGAGACACACAGAGACACAGAGACACACAGAGACACAGAGACACACAGAGACACAGAGACACACAGAGACACAGAGACACACAGAGACACAGAGACACACAGAGACACAGAGACACACAGAGACACAGAGACACACAGAGACACAGAGACACACAGAGACACAGAGACACACAGAGACACAGAGACACACAGAGACACACACACACACTCTCACACACACACACACACACAAAAGCACTGCTCAGTTCTGACCCAGGGAAAGCACAGCCATTCAGGGTCCTGTCAGCTCCATTGTGCTGCGCTCTCCCCGCTCTCAATGCAACGCTCAGCTCAGGCTTAGCGCCCTGACAAATAAAGGAAAGCACTTTATGAACCCAATTTAATTGGGAGGTGACAGAAAACACAGAGCCACTTTCCTCAGCCTTATCCCTGAACTGGCTCCAGCTCCAACCTCTGCCAAACCCCGCTGAGCACGGGACACGAGCCAGGGCAGCGGAGCACCCCGCAAACCCTGGGGATCCGCACGGATCCTCTCTGCCAGGAAGCATTCTGGGGATGGAGGAGAGGGGAAAGGGAAGGAGAGGAGGAGGCAGAGAGATCAAAAAACCCCCAGCAAGAGAGGAAAATGGATGTGCAGCTGCCCGGCGGCTCAGCAGATGTCTGTGTGTGATGTACGAGGCCGGGAGAAGCTGTCGGAGCCGCTGCCAAGGACTGGGAAGTGATTAAAGCCTGCACCAGGCTAAGCACCAGATTTCCAGTCCGTGGGGTTCCCAAAGTGGCACCCATGCCTGGCTGTGCTGCCAGATGTTGCTGGCTGCTCCCTCTCCTGCAGCTGGAGCAGCAGGGAATGCAATCTGGAACGCTGCCTTCCGGAGGGGCCGTGCGAGCCCCTGGCACCCATCCTTCACCTCTGCCCGGGCCTCAAACAGCTCCAATTTGCTGCCACTTCCCTCTTGGGAAATGGCCAAGATACAGTTGTGCCTGGCAGACCCATTTGTTTTACTCAGGTGATTCTCTTCCCTCAATGACCTCTATTAGTTTAAGTTTTAATTTAGATTAACCCCAGCACCCCAATTAACCAGTGAGGGGAGAAGCTAAGCTGGTCCTGCTCATATTTCTGAAATCACAATTTAGCACAGTTACAGTCATTAGAGGGAAAGATGGGGACACTCATCCATTGCTGTTTTCTTTTAAAAAATTTAACATTTCATGGCTGGGAAGCACCTCCTCTGCACAGGTCCTTGCACTGTCAACCTCAGCTGTTTCTCCACTCCATGAGTTTGTTATACCAGCTTCATTTCTTCTGTGTTCTGGGGTCCAATCTGCCCCCAAAGCTGAGCTTCTTGGCCACTTGGACCCCAAATTCCACCTCAGCAGTACCTCAACAGATTTGGCCCCTTCAATCCCAATAGAACAGTTCATCTCCCATCACCATTTGGAGCCTGGCATCCTCACATGGCAACAGCTCTCTCCTACTCCCCAAGCACTTTACTGGCCACTCTAATAACTATTCAGATCAAAAAATCTGTCTTTCTAGTGATATAATGATATTTGTTTAATCCTGAGGTTCAGGCTCTGTGTGGATCACCAAAGCAGGCAGAGTTTTTCACACACACTGGAAGGACTCACAGTGACACATTCCCCAATAAGTGACAATTCCAGTTTTCATAAAGCTGGCACTCTCTCTTAAATAAACTACAAACACTGCTTTCCCTGCACTGGGTGCAGATTCCTTGCTTCTAAGAATTTTGCAAATAAAAGGAATTACTGGCCTGGATCCAAGCTGGCCCAATTCCAAGAAAAGCGCTGGAGCAGCCCAGGAGCTCTCCCAGTCCCCGCAGGTAAATGAGATGATTTAGGCTGAGACAAGAGCAACTTTCAGTGCTCCTGAGGGTCTCCTGGGACTGTTTTTCCTAAGGGGGCTCTGAGAACTGTCACCTTGAGAGGACTCAGAGCTTTTCCTCTTGTGTTCCCCAGGGAGAACAGGAACAGCTCCTGCAGCCCAGACACACCCAAGCACCAGCAGCAAGTTCCCAAGCACAGGGCACCTTCAAACTCACACAGCCCTGGAGAAAAACTGAGAGCAGAGTGCCCTGAGGGACTTGCAGAGATTTGGGGTGTTAAAACAGGTAACTGAGTTTTACAGGTAAAGAGAAATATGGAGCACAAAACCAACTGCACTTTCTCTGCAAGAACTGAAACCCAACTGGAGTCATAATTCCAACACAAGTTTACCCATCACCTACCTGGTGATAAAAGTCATCATCATCAAATATCTCCTCATCGATGTCCTTCAGGTGCCTGTTGGAATCTGAGGGAGGGAGGACTTCCTGGAAGCATCAAGGAAATACTGAGAGCTCATATGTGCACATTTCTGTCCCTAACTCCAGACACATCACATGCAGCAGCTTGTAAACACACTTGATGATATGAAGGAATGGGGAAAAACTTCCAACATAACCAGCTTTTAAGGACCAGGAACACATTTAAAGGCAAAGCAGAAACACTGCCAATGCCAAAATAGATTTATGATGCCTTTACTGGGAAATAAATAGGACTGTGCAAAGACTTTCTGGCAAAATACATCTTGCAAGTCCAGTAATTCTACCTGATCTCTCAGAATTGAGTATTTATTCATTCTTAAATACTAAATTAATAAAAAACTTACTACTAACATATTCTGCAGGTTACGTGCAGTATGATTTTAAAAGGGGCTTTCTGGGTTAAAGACTCTAAACTGCAGAGTGAAAACCAAGTTTTGCTGCCGCTACCTCCAAAACCAGATTTAGTGAGCAGCACTAGGGAGGGGGCACAATCCCAGCTCAAACCTTGTTTTCCACTGTCAGGAACTGGGACAGAAGATAATGCAAACATCACAAAACTGGAATTTCAACGTCTTTACTCAGCCATTACAATGCAGGAATCACCACTCAGACATCTCATCCATCCATCCATCCTTCCATCCATCCATCCATCCATCCATCCATCCATCCATCTCCCAAACAAGCACAACGCCCGCTAAAGGCTCGCGCCCATTGCTCTGCGGAGTTTCCCAGGATGAGTTAGAGAAATAAACCCCCCCTTACCGAGTTGTCAGGCCCAGGCTGAGGGGCTGGGGCAGGCTGCTGCTCCTGCTTGCCCAGCACGGTGTAGAGGGAGCGGCGGGTCTGGGTGCGCCGCAGCAATCGCTCCCTGTCCAGCAGGACGTGATCGATCTGCGCCAGCACCGAGCGCTCGAAGGCTCCGAAGCCCTGCACGGCATTAAGCAGTGTCAGATAACACACACAGCCTCTCCTCAAGGCACCACTGCTCCTCTATCTTTCCATGTCACTGGATAAGCAGTTCCAAGAGGAGGAGGGGGTCTGGGGCTCGTTGCAGGGATTTCTGCAAGGATTTTTTATTTGTTTCTCCCTCGCTCCCCCTTCCCAACCTGAGGCGAGTTGACGCCTGGCTTAATAAAATGCCTTTGCTGTTCTGGTTCAGATTAACTTCTTGATGATTAATACCAACTCAGGGGTGTGAGGAGACCCCGGATCTCTGGGTGAAATGATTACCCATTGTATTAAAGCCTACACTTCATGGAGGAGGAGAGCCTCAGAGGGCCCTGCTTCTGGGAGGAACCACAAACAGCTCCTGCAGCAGCAAGAGTGACATTTTCCTGGAGATTATTTGCTGCTGGAGATTGGCTGTGATGGGATGCATGGTTGAGAGAACACAGAAACTACCATGAGACAACTTACACTGTCCCAGGCTGCTCCAAGCCCCGTCCAACCTGGCCTTGGACACTCCCAGGGATGCAGGGGCAGCCACAGCTGCTCTGAGCACGTGTGCCAGGGCCTCCCCACACTCATAGGGAAAAATTTATTCCATGTATCCCACCCAATTTTCCCCTTTTTCAGACCCAGATCCCTGCTCCATGAGAGCCATGTCAGCACACACAAAGCAGGCCTTGCCTTCCCCATTTTGCCTGTTGCCAGCTTTGTCTTGTCATGCCACTTCTGCAGGGTGCTGTTCCTGTAGGTCCTGAAGTCCTTGTAGCGCTTGGCTATGAACTCAGGGTACTCCTCAAACTTCAGCTTCCGTTTGGGGAGGCTCCTCCTCTTCTCCTGAACCTTCTCCACTGGCTCCTCATCGCTGCTGCTCGGGATTTCATCCTCACTGGAACAAAAGCACTCGGGATAAACACCCTGTCCCTCCCTAAGGCAATGTGTCAGTCCTCGATGGCCCCTCCACCACCAGCCCACACCACACTGGCATTTTTGTTAAAAGCCCCACGGTTTAGCCCCTGCTCCATTATCAGAAATATCATAAACCAGACTTCCCACAGGCAGAAGGAATTTAAGTAACAGAGCATCTGTCACCCAGACACAGCAGCAACTGAGAGAGAAGCAGGGTGAGGGTGGTCAGGAAGGCTGGGCATTGTCCTGATTGCTGGAGACCAGAGGGTTCAGAAAGATCCCATCTCTTTTTGCATTTACCTCTCAGTTTTTGCTTGCTTTCCATCGACCAGATGCCTTGTGCCTGGGTACTGATAAAGCAGCTCATCCTGAAGTTCCACCAGCACTTTCAGCAAGGCCTCCAGGGCTTTACAACCTGCAGAGCAAGAGACACAAGTGACAAGATCTGATCTATGGGGGAAAGTTTAAACCATGACCTGGCGAGTTTAATGAGAAGATTCTGATCAGAAAAGCAGAACTGCAGGCCCAAAGATCCTCAGGAAGAGAGAAAGGGAAGAAAAGATGGGGTGGAGGAGTGTAAATTGATCAATACACAGTGTGAATGTGGTTTTTATTGGGGTGAGCAGTTGCACTCCAGGGTGTTCACACAGATCCTGAAGGGAGGTGTGATGCTGGGTATCCAAAGGCTTTTGCAGCTGACAGTTTTCCTGTGTCCATGCAGTGCTTGTTCCAGTGGCTGTGAGTTCTCCAAGGACACACAGTTCCAGCTGACTGTGGGACAGGTTAACTGCACACTGCCACAGCATCTGCTCTTCCAAAATAGCTCTTTTGTGGCAACCAACAGGCCACCCTGCAGGACTCTCTGAGAGAAAACAAGTGTCAGCCCAGGCTGACAAACTGTCCCTCTGCACATCCATCACAGGGTCAGCTCTCCCAGGTGAAACACTTGGCACAGCCCTACCCAAAAACCTGAACTGAACTTTGGCTGACAGAGCACGTGGAGCTGCTCTGCTTAACTCCCAAAATTCCCTTTGTACATGGCACAAAAAGAACAGGGAGAGCTTTTCCCCTACTCCTTTTTTTTTTTTTTCCTTTATTTCTGCTTTTCAGTGGGGGACACAGAGATCATGGGTAGAGTGAACAGCAAATCTTCCTCAGGCAGACAGAGGCAGAAATCAGCCCAGACACTCAGAGGTCTCAATCTGCTGTGTGTTCCCACTGTGATATTGCTCAGTCGTCACCACCTTCAGATAAATTATGGCCTGACCTCAGTAACAGCAATGTCAAGGAGAAGATGCTTTAAGATTTTTGTTGCAGATCTGCTGTTGGACTCGCCCTCCCCGAGCCCATGGTTCATTCTAGATACACTCTGACAGCTCCTCTATATAAACCTATTAACGGATTAGGTTTGCTGCACTTGTAAATCAGACGTGTGTGAGCATCAAAACAATTCCACCAGACAAACGGACAAAAGCCCTTAAAAATACATTTGTTGTAGGTGTCTGCAGCTAAAGCATCACTTGCAGGAGCCAAGTGTCCCCACCCTAGCCTGAGTGCACAGCTTACACCAGCAAAATCCTTCCCACTGCCTGCAACGCAGCCAAATGTCCCCAGAGCTTCCCAAACTGTTTATTTTCTCCCCGCTGCCTCTCCTCCAGCAGCAGTGCTAATGCACCCCAGGCAGCTTTGATCCTGGCAATTACAACTGGAGTAGCACTCCAGCCCTTCTGGGGTACAGCAGGGCCACGGTGAGCAGGCAAGGAAATAAAGACAGGCTCAAGCTGCCCTGGGCTATGAGATACAGACCCCAGCAGAAGTGGGGACGGGGAACAATTTTATTTGGAGTGAAGGGGCTGGGGAGGGCAGGGAAGACAATGACCGTGTGTCTAACCAGGTGGGAGGGATAATTATTCCAGGCAGTGGCTTCATCATGAGCCTCTTACAGCTGGGTAATTTCCCTGTTCCCAGTTCTTGTGTATTTAATAGCATTACTGGATGCCATTCTCACTTCTACTGTTGGCTGCTTAAGTGTGCTGTAAACTCAAATTCAGAAGCCAAATATCACCCTCCTCTGCTCTCTTCCCATCTAGCCCTGCCCTATCCATCTCACATTTAATTCCAGAAGGGGCTGTTTTCTTCCCAGTCTCCTCTTCATCCCCTCTTCCCTCTGTCTGCCTTTACATGTCTGCTTCGGGGCAGAGACTGGCCTCCTTTGTGAATGAAGGCAGCACAAGCCAAAACTGTTCCATGGATGCAAACTGGGTCATTTTGAAAGAAGGCTGGACACCGACTGACCCTCCTACCCCCAGCAGGAACTTAGTAATGCTGCTGCTTGTCTGAAACAAGAACACAACAAACGTGGTTGGGACTCAGATGGGACTCAGAGTGTCAGTGCTGAGACACTGCCTTGGAAGAGTCACTTTGAAGAGTCCACAGAAGCCCCTCTATTTTGTGTCCAGGAGGGAAAAAGTTGTTCCAGATCCAGCAGGCAGCAGATCAATCCACCCAGAACGCTGGGAGCCAGCAGCAGTAAATCAAAGTGTGCCTTTCTCTTGGTGCTCCTCATACGTCTCTGTTTTATCCAGCCCTCCAGCCAGGCTGGAAGTAGCCCTGGAGTATTTAGCTCCATCCAGGGACAGCACTGCCATGGATCAGGGTGTCAGGAGACCCACCAGAGATGAAAGCTGTCCTGCTGCTCTCAAACCACACAAGAACTATTCTGTCCATGCCAGTGAACAAACTGGAGCGGGGTGACCCGGCTGCAGGGACTGATCCCAGAGCTGCCATGGATCCACGCACTGCCCATGGGGATGGGCTGCCAGGGGGGCTGCTGGGCTCACCCACGCTCCAAGCCCTGCATTCCCACAGCTTCCCACACTGGAAAAGCCCTGCCCTTCTTCCCATCACCTCTAAAGACAGGGTCTCATTTCACCCTCCCGAGCAGCTGCGCGGAGCGGCGGGAGCGGCCGTGTGCAGGGACACTGAATCCACGGAAAAACCCTTCCTGGGATGTACCAGCAGGAACCACCACCTACCCAGCACACAGCTCCACTTCAGAGCCCGTGCCTGCACTGGAAATAAAGGACTTTTTCCTCTCAATTAAATCTGAGGCTGTGGCATCACTGGACTATCAGAGGCACGCAATGCTCTCCATCCTCCCTGCACCTCCACAGGCTGGGGAAGCGCTCACACAGAACAGCTGGAGCAGGGCTGCCATTGGGAAGGGGGGATCAGAGCAGAAGCTGAGCTGCACAGAACTGGGAGATTCCCCTGCCTCCATGGAGAGTCCCCAGGGCCCCGTGGAGCCTCTGTGTCCCCAGCCCAGCTCCCATCACGCAGATCCAGGGGAGGAGAGGAATCCAACCTCCCATTCCGATGGCTGCACACAATGAGGAGGATCCTGGTACACAGGTTTAGCAACCCAGCACTAGGATGGAGAAGGGGAATCTTCCCTCCCTTCAAAGGGCCGTGGGACAGGAGTTAAACTCCAGGTCAAAATGGCCCTCGATGTGTTGGCCTCGGAACAATGCTCCCCATTCACATCCAGCTGCCAGCCACTTGCACTCCTCATCCCCAGCAATTAATCCCCCACCAAACACGTTTGATTAAATCTTTTCAAGCAAATCCTTTGCTTTGCTTTTGTTAGTTCACTTCTTGTCAACATCTATTAAAATATGCCTTTAATTCTCCCACAATCTTAAAAAACACCGATTCCACTGTCTTCAACTTTAATCAACTGTATGGCCGGCATTTTTCATTTCATAATAATGTGCTGTTTGGAATTCAAGAGGCAGGCTCAACATCAATCATTCGGCAAGAATTTTTCCACTGCAATAAATATGCAAATGAGGAAAGCCAGTCAGTCGTATTTCAGGCCCGACTTGCTAGTGTTTTAAAAAAGACACAAATTTATTAATTGCCGTTGGCCAGCGGAATCCTATTACTTTGGGCATTGATTACAAAGCTGTGTGAGTGATTATTGTGCAACTCGCAGGCTATCCAGGCATGAGGAAAAATTATTAAAGCAAGGCAGAGATTATCAACTCGGAATAACAATAAGCCTTAACATTTTAGGCCTCTAACTTCTTCAACAAAGAATTACGCCGCAGCTCCGGTGTATCATAATTCTGAAGTCTGTCAGTATTACTTTTGGAGCTTGCTCTATATTCCCAGCAGCAGGAAGACGTTCCCAGCCAGGAAAAGGCGGGGGAATTCCTCCAGGTGTCACATCTCAGACATGGGGCTCTGGACAGAAGCTGCCATGCTTCTCCCAGAGTGGAAGGAACCTCAGGAGGAACACTGCAGGATCCCAGCAGCTCCAGCCCTGAGCGTCCTGGGGTCCCAAATCCACGTGGCACAGAAATAAAAGAAATAATTCTGTTTGGTAAGCCTCAGACAGGAGCTCCAAGAGCCAGCCCAGACTCAATGATAGGCTAAAGGGGATTTTTTTACAGGTGGTGTGGTTACATTCCCATTTCTCACAGACTTCAGCACAAAGCCCTGGGAAATCTGTCCAAATTTAGGAAGTGATGGGAGCAACACACTTTCCACGCTTTCCCAAACAGCGAGTTTGGGGAATTTTACCAAATTACAGTAGCAAAAGGGCCGACTTTGCTGCTGACAGCAAAGGTCTGCTCCACACCCAAACCCAGTTTGCCGGTTCCATTGGAATGCAAATGACGCAAGAGCCTTTGCAGAGGGGAAAATTGTATTCCCTGGGCACAAAGGAGCCAGGGCTGCACCCCCCTTCCACAGCAGCGCTTCAGCTGACTCCCAAAGAGTTCCAGAACAGCCTCAATTTAGCCCTTTCACTCCAATATTACTGCATCTGACAGGAAGGACAACAGGATCAGACACAGATGAGTTTGCTAAAAGTAAAGAAAATAACTGGATTGAACAACAGAATAAAGGCTGGGTATTCAGGGGTTTATTAGAGGGCACTGGGGGAGGGGGAAAGCTGAGGAGGAGAGAAAGAGAAACAGTTCCATGAAGTTCATGCTCTGCTGATTCGCCTCAACCATCATCTTTTGATATCAGCCCAAACCAGGGAGGGGATGGGGCTGGCAAAAATGAGATTTATAAAAACTGATGCTTTACATTACTGGAAATGCAAAGAAGCTGACAGCACACATTCCTGCCTCTGCCAGCCTGGAGTCCCCAAGTACATGGGCAAGGAGAAGAAAGGAAATGTGAAATTTCATAGTTATATCTGGATATTAAGGCCAGAAGGGAACATTAGCCCATCCAGACTGACCTCCCCACATAATACCAGGCCATTAATTATATTTATCATGACAAGCCCCGAGCTTCCATCTCAAGGTACCCAATTGCCAATTAATCCGAGTTAGCTGACATTTGCACACGCTTGTCTGGACACTTTTAAAGCCTTTGTTTCCCTGCATCTTGTTTGTGCAG